CAGAGAGGAGAGAAGTGAGCCAGCGTGCTGGAGGTGGAGGTTGACGGGAACAATTTCACAGGAAAAAAAATATTCAAAATGTTGGAGAATGCCTTTCCAGCAAGAGGGAACAGCATGTGCAAAGACACAGGCAGGAAGAAGCAGGTGGTCACAGAGGGCTGAGCCTGGTGGGGCTTGGATAACAGAGAAGGGGAGGCCGGCAGGGCTGTGCACACCGGGCAAAAACATTTGGTCTCCATCTCCAAGTAGGGAGTGGCTGAAGGGTCTGGGCAAGTGCAGAGGGCTAGCGCCAGGCTTGGCCTGAGCAGGTGGGTGGAGGGCAGCGCCACAGACCCAGCGAGGCCCCTCTGCATCAGGAGGAGCAGCTGGCTTTAGGGAAGGTCTTCCTAAAATGCAAGGCCAGCCAGGCTCCTGCCTTGGTCCACAGGACCCAGTGGGGATCTGGCCTCTACAGAACTCTCCAGTCTCCTCTAGAGTAGCATGCCTCCCTCCTGCTTCTGCCCTGTGGTCCCTCTGCCATCCCATCCCACCCCATCCTATCCCTATCATCATTTTCTCTGAGCGATCATTCACATAACATAAAAGTCACCCTTTCAAAGCGAATGGTTCAATGGGTTTCAGTATACTCACAACACTGTGCAACTGTCCTCACTAATTCCAGAACAGTTCCTTGCTTCAAAAAGAAATCCCCCACTCCCCCGTTCACCCTAAGCCCTGGCCCCCGGCCACCACTACAGATATGCCTCCTCTGGACATTTCATATAAATGGAACATGTCACTTGTGGTCATTTGTGTCTGACTTCTTGTACTGAGCATGTCTTCCGGGTCCATCCACATCGTAGCAGGTGTCAGAGCCTCCTTCCTTTTTTATGGCTGAGTAATATTCCATTGTATGGATGGACCACATTTTGTTTGTCTGTTCATCCATCAACGGACATTGGGTTGTTTCACTTTTTGTTGCGAATAACACTGCTGTGAAGAGTCGTGTGCAAGTTCGCGTGTGGCCGTGCGGTTTCAATTCTTTTGGGTGGATATCTAGGAGCAGAATTGCTGGGTCATAGGGTAACTCCGTGTTTAACTTTTGAGGGAACTGCCAGATTGTTTTCTGGGCTATCTGTTCTTCCAAGCGTGCCTCTCAATCTGTAATAGAAAGTTTGGATGGTCGTTTCTTATTCTCTATGCTCTGTACGCTCCGGGAGGGCCGCGACTGCGTCGGTGTTTGCCCAGTATGGTGCCCAGCACCTCGCAGGCATTCAGCAAATATGGGTGGGTGGGCAGGTGGGTTCAATTTCTCAACTCCTATGTTGTAGGCTCAGTGCAGGGCACCACACTGGCAGGGACCCAGACAGTGGCAATTTTTACCCTGGTGGGTAATATTCAGGAGCCAGTTGGCAATCTTGGCTGGTGCTCAGGAGAAAGGGAAAGCTGGGGAGAGTGTCCCAATTGGTGGCGTTTATTTGATCATTTAAGCCTCGGCAGTGAGACCACCAGGGGCATGAAGGGACAGGGGCCGAGGCAAGGCCCGTGGAGGAAGAGGTGCCGTGTAGGACACTGAGAAGCCCAGGAAGAGAGGTGGGAGAGAAGCCAGGAGCCTGGCCTGTCTGAAGCTGGGTGGAAAAGGACTTCAAGAAGGAGGGCGCATGGCTGGCAGTGTCTAAACAGCCGGAGAGGGGGAGAGAAGTAGAAAACGCCCAGCATCTGGGCCCTTCTGCCCCCGCGCCCCCTGCCCCTAGCACACTGGCAGTCTCTTCCCACCCCTCTAGGTTGGCTTAGCCATGGGCTCAGCCTCATAAGCCATGCGCCACCCTGTGGACGTGTGGAGGGTGGGAGTGCCAGCAGGCAAAGGGGTAGGCGGCCCACTGCCTGCTCTGCAGGGTCCAGGACCCCATTCAAGTGGCTGAGGTGGGGTAGAGGCAAAGGGGTTTGAAGTGAAGGACGCTGAGAGGCTGGCACGTCAGACCCACTGGACCCGCATGTGCATCTCAGGCCGGTGGCCCCTCAGCCCTCGAAGGGACTGCCCCATCTGTGGGTCTCTGTACCTGTCAGGCAGGGGAGGCGGTGCCTCATTCGCCTATTTCCCCCCGTTTCCCTGTGCCCAGAACAGTGCCTGGCCCTCAGACGGCCCTCAGTGAGCATCAGGGAAGGACAGTGAGCCGGGAAGAGTTGGGCCTCTCTGGAGGGGAGGCAGGGCCACCCGCAGGGCTAGGAGGGTGGCGGGCCGGTGTCTGTCCCAACCTACTCAGTCCCAAGAGTGGCAAGATCTGGTCCGTGCAGGAAGTGCGTGCGTGTGTGTGTGTGTGCACACGTGAGAATGCGTGGGTGTGAGACGGACTGTAGATGCGTGTGAGTGGGCCCTGTGTCCGAGTGTGTACGCATGGGTGTGGGTGCAAGATCGTGTGTGTCGCCGTGAGTGCAGGGGGTGTGAGGTAGTGTGTGAGTGTGTGTAAGTATGTGTGGGTGTGGGCGGGTCAATTACATGAGTGTGTTAGTGTGTATGGTGTGTATGTGTGTGTGTGTGTGTGCGCATCAGGAGGATGGCTTCCAGCGCCAGGCAGTGTTTAGAGAATCTGGCGACGAGTCAAGAGAAAGTTCCTGAGGGATCAGAAGGTTCTGCCTCTCGGACTGCAAATTTCAGCCGTGTGTATTGAATCAATTTTACTTCCTGTATGAAGTCCACATTAATATGTGATAAATATCTGGACAAGCCCTGCTAGTGGCTGGTTGTGTTTTGAAATCAGAAGGCCAGAGTTGAAGCAGTCCCTCGGGTCCTTTGGGGGTGGCATCGTGGACACCAGGGCACTCCAGGCCTCCTGAGATGGCGGGCCCAGACCACCACGCTGGCCACGTGTGGTCTCTTGCTCCAGGGCTCCCACTGCTCCCCCACCCCAGCGGTGCTTAGGAGGCTCCCGTGCTCGCCTCCCCCACCTGTCTCCCACCTCCCAAGCCTGCCTTCCCAGCTCCTCCCCGCCCAGAGAGATCCTTCCAGGTCAGGGCTTCCTGTGCACAGCCCACCTCTGCCCTGGCTGGTCACAGACTTTGACTCAGTGGTAGGCCCGGAGCGGGCCCCACCTCTCTCCGGAGAGGTTAACTCCTGGCTAGACGGTGCAGAGTGGCCCGTTCTCTGGGGCAGTTGTCGCTGGCCAGCGAGGCTGTGGGAGGAAGAGCTCTTCCAGTTCTGCTGGGGTTCGCCACCCAGAGTTTGTACCGCCCACCCAAGCCAGAGCCCTCGGCACCCAACAGAATCGGAGAGCCTTGGGGAGCCAGAGGCAGAACCAGGGGCCCTGAGGAGCCACAGAGACCTGGGAAGGGAGGGTTCTGGGCCCCCTACAAGGTGAAAAAAGAATGATGCCCCCTTGCTCCCACCCCGTGACAGGGCAGCACAGGGCAAGGAGGCTGGAATCAAGTGTATGGCCAGGGTCAAGCCCAGCCACCCAGTGGGCCCTCAGGTGTCGGCTGGGGTCTGAGTTTAGGCTGCAAGTAGGCGCCCAGTGACCTGATGGCAGGTGTGAAATGGTCTACTCTTGTCCTGTCATTGTCCTTCTGCTGCCTAGGGGACCAGATGCCCCCTCTCTGGGGCCTAGCCAAGGGCCCCTCCGGGCGGAGCTGTCAGAGCTAGGTCACGTGGGGTCCAAGGGCAATAGTGGATTCCTGTCACAGACTGTGGCAGGAGAGTAGGGGGGCATGAAGGAGCCGCCCAAAGCAACAGGGAGGGGAGGAGCACTTTCTTCCCACCTCCGTGGCCCTGGAGATCCCCATCCTCTCAGACCGTTGATGCTTGGGCTTACCAGAAACATGACTGAGTGGAAAGAACACCGCCCCTGGCCCCTGCCTTCGCTCCCCTAGCCATCCCCCACCCCTAAAACCTCCCACCAGGGTGATGGCAGCTCCTGCCAGCAGTCCCCACACCAGGCATAGCAGAACCCTGGAGGCCAGCTAGACGTTGGCCCTGGCCCTGGAACGAATGATCAAGGCCACCATCTAGAGAGCAGTCATTAAGTGTCAGGCGCCGTTCTCCCACGTTCCATGTGGTGGCACACTCAGGTTCACCGCCACCTTCTGGAGCAGGTCCTGTATGATCCTCAGTCTTTGGAGACTCAGAGAGACCAGGGGACTGGCCCAAGGCCACCCAGCTGGTTGAGGGGGAACCACGATTCAGACACAGATTCGTCTGAGTCCAGAGCCCTCGCTTTCGGCACAGTGCTGAGCTCCCTCTCCTGAAGCTGGCAGAAAGCAAGAGGCTAGTGTTCTGGAAGCTGCCAGGAGGGCGGGGCCAGATCCTCCCCAAGAAAAATCAGACAAATGGGCCTGGCAGCCGCCCGGCCAAGATCGGGGTACTGACGAGAGCCTGTGGCTCTCGCTCTGCATCCACCAGGCCACACATTCCCAGCACTTTGACACGTCCATCCCCGGCTTCCCAGCCCAAGGGGAGTCGACTCTTCCGGCCATTGGCAACACCAGCCAATCAATGGTAGAGAATAATTGTTTCTGGCTGTGCCAGCCACCCACTTTGGTTGATGAGACGGGGAAGGTCGGATGCTGAGGCAGGGCTCCCAGGACAGGATCTAGCCAGAGACAGGAACCAAGGCCGTCAGGAAGGGCCACTGGAGCAGGGGCTTCTGTGCCCCCAAGGCCTGAGTGACAGGGAGCCTTTGCCCCTGGTCCTGCTGAGGACTCAGGGATGTCAAGTTGAGACCTGGCCTTTATGCCCGGGGACAGCAGGGCAGCTCGGGCCCTGGCTGCAGTCCTTCTGTCTCCGTCCATGCATCTGGACCCAGGCAGGGATCATGGTAGCTGGTGTCTTGCATAGAAGGAGCCAGCATGGCCGTCCGCTGGGCTGGAGTATGTGGGGATGGGGGGTGCACCTAGCGGACAGACCAGAGATGGGCAGCCCGAGGTGAGGAAATGTCCACAGGTGAGCAGCAGGCTCAGTCGGCCCAGAGCCAGCCAGACAGGGTAGGCGCCCCCACCCAGTGCTGACCATACATGTCTCCGGCCCCCAGACAGAGCTGTGACCTGGCCCTGCTCGCAGCAGACGAGCCTGCCCACCATGGCGAGCCCCACTCTGAGCCCCGACTCCTCATCCCAGGAGGCCCTGTCGGCCCCCACCTGCTCCCCCACCTCTGACTCCGAGAACCTCAGCCCCGATGAGCTGGAGCTGTTGGCCAAGCTTGAAGAGCAGAACCGGTGAGTTGGGGCCTGGGGGGCGGGGAGTGGCCTCAGGGGTGCAGCCTGGGCCCCACGCAGAAGTTCCCGGGGGCCCCCCCTCACACTAAGAGCTGGGCCCGGCCCTCGGCAAAGTAACAGCGCCCACCGGAGGCTTGACAAGGGACGTCTTCTGCCATCCTCCAACCCCGGATGATCGGTTTCCCCATTCCGATGAGACCAAGGTTTCAAGAGGGCCAGTGAACCTGGCCTTCGCTGGCTGAGCCTCTGTTGGAGGGAAGAACAAATCCTCTGACTCTGGAGCCAGGCCTTCCCACCTTTCTCCTCTGGCCCTTCCCCTGGTTTCAAAATGTAGGCGGTATTATTATTCGGATACAATGCGGCCAATGGACAGAGAGTTTGTGAGTCACTGCCTCTAAGAGGAGGGGGCCCGGCACACCATGTGGGGCTAACCAGGAAAGCACCAGAGTCGGTCAGGGGGCAGAGGGAATGAGGCAGGACGTGAGCAAGAGCCTTCGTTGTGGTTCCTGTAGGAAGGAACAGCGAGGCCGACTGGCTAGCTCGAGTAATCTCAGCGGGCTCGGGGGTGCAGGGCCAAGCCTAGTTGGCCTGGCACCTGGCCCTGGGGTGATCAGAGCAGGGGAAGGGGTTGGTTTGGGGGTTCTAGACTGGTTGGTCTGCATAGGAAAACTGCGCTTGGCAGGCAAGTCCTTACCCATCTCTAGGAATCTGCTAGGCTGCCAGAGGGTGGTCCCCCCCCGGGGTCAGCGAGGCCCCAGATGGCAGAGCAGCAGAAACACACGGCCACACAGCTGCTTGCCAGCTGGCTGAGTGGCTCGCCCTCCCTGCACCTGGTGCGTAGAGCGTAGATCTTAACCAACCCTGCCCTGCGGTGCTGGTACGCGACTGAGTCCGCCCATGCACGGGCTTCTCAGCCCCGTGCTGGACACAAACGGGACACAAAGATGTTAGCCTCTCTGGGGGCCCGGGAATGAGGACCACGGCTCAGAGAGGGTAGAGCACCGGCTAAGGCCCCCCAGCGAGAACAACTTAGACCCAGTCTGGGACTCCTGAGAGGAGGGGCCGGGCTTCCCCGGGGGTGCCCTGTCCCCAGAGAGTCACTAGAGCCCAGGGGCGGGGGCAGGAGTTGGCCGCAGCCGGGGCCCCGCCCCCACCAGCCCCTCTCTGCCCAGGCTCCTGGAAGCCGACTCCAAGTCGATGCGCTCCATGAACGGCTCCCGGCGGAACAGCGGCTCCTCGCTGGTGTCCAGCTCCTCGGCCTCCTCCAACCTGAGCCACCTGGAGGAGGACACGTGGATCCTGTGGGGCCGGATCGCCAACGAGTGGGAGGAGTGGAGGCGCAGGAAAGAGAAGCTGCTCAAGGTGGCGGGGCCTGTGGGGCTGGGGGGGGCCGGCCGGGTCACTGGGCCACCGGAGGGCAGCACCAGGGTCCCAGGGCCGTCTGGGGCCCCGCGGGCAGAGAGCAGAAGTGGAGATGAGCCTTGCCAGGACACGGGAGGGCCAGGGCCGCGGTGCAGGGTGGGGCCGGCCAAGCTAGTGGCTATCACGCCGGTGTCTCAGGTACCCATTTGTTTCCCACCTGCTCTGTTTCGTGACCGACTGGGGACCGCGCATTAAGCAGCATGGCTTCTGTCCGCAGCACGGGGGCTCGGCCAGCTCTGGGCCGCAACCGAGCCACAGGCCAGCCCCGTCTCAGGGCTGGACCGGGTGGCCGTGGGGAGGCCGCCCTGGGACAGGGTCCAGCCCGGCCTCCCGCCCCCCCCCCGGCCCCCCTCCCCCCGCCGTTGGCAGGAGCTGATCCGCAAGGGCATCCCCCACCATTTCCGGGCCATCGTGTGGCAACTCCTGTGCAGCGCCACGGACATGCCCGTCAAGAACCAGTACTCGGAGCTGCTCAAGATGTCCTCGCCCTGTGAGAAGCTGATCCGCAGGGACATCGCCCGCACCTACCCAGAGCACGAGTTCTTCAAGGGCCAGGACAGCCTGGGCCAGGAGGTCCTCTTCAACGTCATGAAGGTGAGGCCCAGGGCCAGCGGGTCTCCACCGCCCAGACCCCGGCCTGTGAGGGCCCGCCGGCCCGGAGGGCCCCTGCGGTAATGAGCGTGTGTCCCCTTTGCAGGCGTACTCCCTGGTGGACAGAGAGGTGGGCTACTGCCAGGGCAGCGCCTTCATCGTGGGTCTGCTCCTCATGCAGGTAGGCCAGGCACCAGCCACAAGCCCGGGAGGTGGGCCAAAGCAGAGCGTGCCCCCGTCCAGGGTCCTCCTGGGGTCAGACCTCCCTCCCCACCCACCTACGACCCCCGCCAGGCCCCAGGCCAAGCCCCCCGTGGGTGGGCTCGGAGGGGCTGGCTGCCTGTCCTGGTCCACCGTCCCCTCCGGGAGCTGCCCGGTCACCGCCCAGGGCTGGCATTCAGGCGGAGGGCTTAGGTCAGCCAGTGCGGTGTTAGCTGGGCCAAGGGTTTCCTCCAGAGAACCCAGCAGACCTAGGAGGGGAGAATGGAGACAGCTGGGGCTAAACCAGAGAGTGTCTCACCTTGGGCGCTGGAGGTGGCCAGCCCTGGGCTTCAAGTCCCAGCTCCCTGTTTCCTGCCAGGAGGCCTGTGGTCTCAGCCTCAGGAGTTTTCCCATTAATGAAACCGGGATGATGATATTTACCAGGGGTTTGTTATGAGGGTCCAGGCAGCCTACGCAGTCCGCGTTCTGTTAAGTCTAAACGTAACAGAGGCAGGCGAAGCACCACGCCCCAGGGCCATAAGAAGAGCCGCGAGCGCCCCCTCCCACCCTGCCTGTCCCCACCCACCCAGATGCCCGAGGAGGAGGCCTTCTGTGTCTTCGTGCGGCTGATGCAGGAGTACCGCCTGAGGGAGCTCTTCAAGCCCAGCATGGCCGAGCTGGGGCTCTGCATCTATCAGTTCGAGTCCATGCTACAGGTAAGCGGAGGCCCGGTGGTCTGCACCCGCTCACCCCACGCCAGTGGGTGCTAACCTAGACCTGCCCCGTTCCAGTCTCTTTAGCTGAAAGTTCCAGGGCTGGGAAATCGCACACAGAGGTTCCAGCTCAGAAGGGGGTCCTGTGCTGCGACAGGGCCGGGGCGGGGGGCAGGGGGTGGATGGGTACTGCCCCAAAGGGTGCTTCAAGCAACGGGGCAAGGGCCAACCATTGATAGTGGGCACCCCTGAGAACATGGGACTCCCAGAGCCACCAGGGCAAGAGGGGTCAGGTTGGCTCTTGTCAGGTATACCCGCAGCCCCTCCTTGTCTGCTCCCCAGTGTGGCGGAAGGAGGGAAAGTGTTGTCTGCCTGCCTTTGCTGATACTGGAGAGCAGCCGCCTCTGTTTATAAATAGCAGCCCCCGCAGGGCCCGCCCCTGGCTGGCAGACAGAGACTGGGCGTGCGTGTATGCGTGCGTGTACACACACACACACACACACACACACACACACACACGGCCTGCTTCAGAAGCTGGTCACAGGTGGGGCTGTGTAGCTCTGCACAGCAGATGGCAGGGAGGTGCTGTCGCTTGAGGGGACCGGGTCGTGTTGGCAAGCAGGTGGCCCGGGGCCACGGAGAAGAAGTGACCCCACCCTGGCTTGGGTGGCCAAGGCCTTCCCGGGTGAAGTAGCTGGACAGCACCAGAGAACCCCCAGCTGCGGAGGAAGCCCCAGGGCAGGTGGGGAGACAGCCCCAGAGTCTGTTTTGTCTTGGTGAAGGACATCCAGGGGGTCCTAACACCTGGTCCAGCCCCAGTTTCCCCGGGTCCTGTCACTTGCCAGCTGCCTGAAGTTCAGGCCAGGCAGACAGGCATCCCCTGAGCGTCGCTGGGCACAAGTACCACGCAGGGGGCGGTGGGTGGACACAGCAACCGGCGGGTCACAGAATATGGGGCTCACGCCACAGCCCACCTCTCGCTCTCTGGGTGAACTTGGGGAGTTGTGTAACCACCCACCTCCCCCGAGCCCCAGAAGCTCCCTCTTGAGCCACGGGTGGTTGTGCCAGTGCGGTCCCCCGTGCATCCCCAACACCCAGTAGCTGCTGCTGCACCTGCCGCCCCTGCCGGTGTCCCCAACTCGTGCTGCTCAGAGCCCTGGGGTACCTCAGCCTCCCCCAGAGACAGTGCCACAGGTTGTCAAGGGCAGGCGGGTAAGACCCCCCGGAGGCCGGAGCGCCGAAGCCCGGCCCTGGCTGGTGGAGGGGGCCCCGGGGGGCCCGGACAGCCATTCCTGGCGGCCTCCTCACGGCGCCTGGCCTCCCCCCCACCCCCACCCCAGGAGCAGCTCCCGGATCTGAACACCCACTTCCGCTCCCAGAGCTTCCACACATCTATGTATGCCTCGTCCTGGTTCCTCACACTCTTCCTGACCACCTTCCCGCTCCCCGTTGCCACTCGTGTCTTTGACATCTTCATGTACGAGGTGAGGACGCCGAACACCCCTTCCCCTCCCAGATCCCCAGCCAGGCCCGGGCTGAGGGAGGGCCGGGACTCGGGGAGGGGTCGGAGACCCCTGGGACGACAGGACCTGAGATGCACCGCCACCATCACCTTTGCAGGGCCTGGAGATTGTGTTCCGGGTCGGCCTCGCCCTGCTGCAGGTGAACCAGACGGAGCTAATGCAGCTGGACATGGAGGGGATGTCCCAGGTGGGCCAGAGGGGCAGGGTGGGCGGGATTCCCTTACACTAGGGGCACCAGGGCAGGTGAAGGCCTCCTGAGAGATGGCAGGGGGCGGGGGGGGGGGGGGGGGCAGTTGCAAGGGCGGAAGGTGTCCTGAGCATCCTGACCCTTTGCCATGACCTCTGTTCCCCGAGGCCTTCCTGGAGGACCCAGACAGGCTCTGAGGAGCAGCCTGGGGGAAATGACGGAAGGTCTAGGCTTAAGCCAAGCCCTGGGCGGTCCTCCTACCCCCCCCCCCCGCCCCACCGCCCCGACCTCCTGCTCCCAGCCCTGGGTCCTCCAAAGTCTAACCCGGCAAATAGTAATACCAGCCAAACTACAAGGTCTTGGGTGTGGTTTTGGTCCCAGCACGTGGGCCAGGCGAGGGCCCGGGAGGGAAGGAGGGGTCTGGGCAGACTTCACACCCGCCCTGGCCGTCCCGCCTGCTGGAGAAGAGGCCAGCCTGCTTTTCCGCCATGTCCCCATCACGCAGGCCCCTGCCCCTCCCCGCGTCTTCCAGCTGGTGCTTCGGGGAAGAATGCACAAAGGCCACGGCTGTGTCCATGAACACGGGCATCCATTGTGCGCAGCTGCCAGAGGGGGCCAGCTGGGCTGGGGAGCGGGAGCCAGCCTGGCCCCGAACCGCAGCAAGCTGTGTGCTCCGTCAGGGCTTACGCTTAACCCTTTGCCCGGGGCCCCCGGGCGCAGGCGTGCGGGCCGACCAGCGAGGGGTCTTCCCTCCAGGATGCTCCCGCCGCCCTGATTCCTCACACTCTTCCGCCTCCTCTCACTGCCCCCTGGGGGCAGCGACATGCCGGCCCCTTCCCCTGCGGGGGTCCCTGTGCTCAGACCCCTCTACCGCCCGGCCTTTGCCAGCAAGAGCTCCCGAAGCCCTGCTTTTTCCCTTCGAACTGAGGTCCGGGCTGTGGATGCTGCTTCCCCGGCCCCGCTTCTCACGCTCACTCGCTCGCTCCACACGCCCTGACAGAGCGCCCGCAACAGGCTGCACGCTGAGCTGGGCCGTGGCCGTGCCCCTGGCAGACCAGCTCCTCCTGTGGGGAAGCAGCATATAGCTCTGGCGGCCCCCGCACTCGGGGCCTCTGTGTCAGTGACCGCCTGTGCCCCCACAGTACTTCCAGAGGGTGATCCCCCACCAGTTCGACAGCTGCCCGGACAAGCTGATCCTCAAGGCCTACCAGGTCAAGTACAACCCCAAGAAGATGAAGAGGTCAGTGCCGGGCGGCCAGGGGACTGGCACACAGGGGGTCCCCGAGAGTGGGACGTGGCCTCATCTGACTCCCCTCTGCAGGCTGGAGAAGGAGTACGCAGCCATGAAGAGCAAGGAAATGGAGGAGCAGATCGAGATCAAAGTGAGTCGCGGGAGTGGGGGCAGGGACGGGGTGCCCTTGGGAGGGCAGCCTTGCCCAAGCCGCACACAGCCTGTGCTTCGAGTCCGAGGCGTCTGCCTCCACACACCTGCCCTTCCTTCACCAGCGGGCCGGCGTGTGAGCAAGGGCCCACCCCACTGTCAGAGACCGGTGGCAGATAAGGTGGATAGGTCCCCACCCTCATGGGACGCCCTCCTCATTATCGTGGGGAGATGGTCGGGGAACAAATGGTACAGGCTATGGACTCCAGAAAGTACTCTGGATAAAAACGCGCAGAAGAGAGGCGGAGCTGACCCAGGGAAGATTGCTCTGGGCCCAGGGAGTCAGTGCAAAAAGGCCGAGCAATAGCAGGCCTGATGGACCGGAGGAATATCAGGAAAGCTGGCCCTGATGGGCGGAGCCCTGAGGTCAGGGGCAGGCATGGAGGACCGAGGACGGTGCCCACTGTGGCCCCTCAGACCCAGACTCGCCTCTCTCTCCTTCCTTCTGCTTTCATCCTTCTGCATGTGATTTTAGTTATTCATGCAACAAGCATTTATTGAGCATCTACTGCGTGCCAGAGTCACAGCAGAGACCGAGGGTCTCCCCAGTCCAGTGAGAGGGACAGACACAAACCCAAACCCCAACACACCTGGCTTTGTCCTCTTCAGAATTCACTTCCCAGCTCTGCCGTGGACCAGCTGTATGACCTAGGAAGGTGGATTCACCTTTCTGAGCCTCAGTGTCCCCTTCTGCAAAATGGGAATAACATTTGCTCTGCTGTTCAAATTATTATCATTATTGTTAATTTTAGTTTTATTATCATCACCACTATCAACGTCTCTACCCCCTTTAGAGAGGCAGAGGCAGAGGCAGAATCTAGATTAGAAGCCAGGTCACCTGCCACCCATACCTGAAGGGGAAAGAGGGCATCGGTATCCTGGTCCTGTTTGTTGGTTTTCCAGAAAGTTTTGTGTCCTGAGTTTGCAAGCATCCCCCTTTCTCAAGAATGGCAGCTTGACTGATGCACAAGTCCCAACGTGTGTGCCTGTCTTGCTCATACACGGTCATGGGCCTGCACCCATCTGGTGACTGTGAGGGCGCAGTGGTAGGTACGTAGGGACACAGCGGACACTCAGACTACATGCCCAACCTGGAAATTTCCAGGAGAGGAGCCTGAGAGCCCACAGACCTTAAAGGATCCAGGCAGACACCTTCTTTCATGGATGGCCCTGCCCTTGGTGCTTTCACTTTTAGCCTGTTTCAAAATGTACCTGAAATTTGTTTTAATCAGGTGGTCAAGTGACAGACACAGAGACGACACCGCCCTTGAAAGAAGAATTTATTACTCCTAGTTGCCAAAAGGAGGGGGCACGCCCCACCACACCTGGCCACGTGGGGAAGCACCTGAGTGGGTCACAGTGGGTCAGGATGCAGAGGGTGAGAGAGGGAAAGCGTGGGCCAGCTCCTTTATTGGGCATCCCCAGGAAGGAATGGGCAAGGCAGGCAGTCAAGTTTGAGTTCAGGATTGGTTGGTCTGAACAATTTCAGCAGAAGCTGTGGGCTACAGGAGAGTCCTCGGTTGCCCTGGGACAATTTGGGGCAGGGAGAACGCTGGCTGGGTGTGCGAGTGCTATAGGGAAGGTGGGTGGCTGTGGGCTCTGTATTGGCTGGTTTGCATATGAAAGGCTAGTCGAGGGCCAGGCATTCTCTCCAAGGTTAGCAAGGTGGCTGGATATCAAAGCATCAAAAACACAGAAAATTTAAAAGAAAAAAAAAAAAGCCCAGCGTGTGCATTGACCCTGTAGTCCCTGTTCACTCCCTGTCTCTTACTTTCCCTTTGGGGTAAGCAGGAGAGAGGGGAGTTGTCAGTCGGGCACATGCGGCTTCTCAAGGATCTCTGCGATTCTGCGATTCTGCGGTGGTGGGTCCTGGCCGGAGAGAAGGCAGAGCAGTGCAGGGGCCGGGGGCGAGGATCAGGACCCTGGAGTGCAGATATGGGGCAGAGAGCCTGCCCGAAACAGATCGCACCCAGGCCAGCTGGGAGGCCCGGGCAAGCCACCACCCCCTTGGGACTCGGTTTCCCCACCCGTGACATCAGTGAATGACCCTCAATCGAGTCTGTGATTCTCTCTGACCGCAGTTGCCTCCTGGGAGTGTTCTGAGTGTTTCCATCACCTTTTTCTCCCGGGAAGAAACCAGGAAAGGTTCTTTGTGATCCACAGGGAGGCGGGGCCCTCATTAATAACGGATGAATGTGGGGCCTGGGGCTTCAGGAAGACGCAGGATCTGGTTGGTGTTCATTCAGCACACACTCTGGGTCCAACTATCTGTACCCGCTTCGTAAGGGGTGCCTAGCAGAGGCTACGATGCAAGGCATATATAAAGCTCACCTGCTTCCCAAAAGGCCACGGGGAATTTAAAACCACAAATATCTAACCCAAATCCATCAGTGCAGGAGAGAAGGCGGAAAGCGAGGGAAACTGCCTCCAGAACCGCCCCGCTGGAGGGAAGTGACAGCTTTTGAGCACAGCTGATTTTTGGTGGCTCACAGAAATGTAGCTGTCCCGCTGAAGGAAGCGTGTGTGTTCAGCAAGACCCCCTCCCCTGGACCCAGACTCTGAGAACAGTTCGTTCTGGTGCCTGAAGCAGAGCCATGAGGGGAGGGGACTGACAAACCCAGAGGAAGGGTCTGCCCAGTGATAGGTGTCACATTGGCCTTTGGCAGGCCCCTGTGTGGGGTGGAAACAGACTCCAGAGAAAGTGGGTGTGGGTGCTGACTGCTGACCCCTGAAAGCGATCACATTGTTTTAAGTGAACCAAGGATTCTTTAAAAACAAAAAATCTAATGGGCCATTCTGAACAGGGATTGGCCCTGACTGTTTTCTGGAATCACTGACCCAGAACATTTGACCACAACTCCATCTTGCCCGGAGGCGACCTGGCCTTTAAGGGGACAGACCTCTGTGTGTATGGGGAACGGGGTGGGGTTCTGACACACTCCCCCCCCCCCCCCTCCCCCCCACATAGAGGCTTCGGACGGAGAACCGGCTCCTGAAACAACGGATTGAGACCCTGGAGAAGGTTAGGAGCGTGGCCACCAGCCTGTGGCACCAACTCCTCCAGGCCCCAAGCAGGACCCAGCAGCCAGAGGGCCGGCCAGCCCCCCACCCGGGCCAGGGCCCGGGCCCCACCCTGAGCCAGCAGGCCCCGAGGAGCATGGTGTAAATCTCACGGGGCCCCCACCCCCAGCCCCACCGAGATGGGGGCTGCCATATACTCAGGGGTTCTAGGGCCGCTTCGCTTGGGATCGGGTGTGAGGTTACAACCCAGTTCACTGCACACACTGGTCCCTCCTGGGTGGCCTGCATGGGGCGGAAAGAGGCAGAACCACAGCTTTGACTGAGGTGCCCCGAATTAGGCCGCAGGCTCCCAACCGTGGAATTTGGAAGCCTCCCCCTCAAAAGAAAGGAGAGGAGAGGGGAGGCCTTACCACTGGCGCCGTGGCGGGATGCCACAACCTTGACCCTGGCCCCCAGCCTGCTTTTAAGGACAGGAGTAAAGGCGGGGGGTCCCACCTTCCTGCTCCTCTCCCCGCCTCACTTGGCCCTCCACTGCCCACAGAGAGTAGCCCCCCACCAGATTTTACTGCCCTTGCCCCAAAGTCTCAATTCTTGCTTAGACTCCACGGGAAAACACTTCGTCCTGGCCCAGCGCTGCCACCCCGCCCCTCACCCTCCGGGGATGGCGCCGCCTCCCACGCTGAGTTTTCTGGGCCCTGGAGGGTGTAGCCGTGGGCACCCCCACGTCCCCACCCACACACAGACCCCTCTCCAGGACGGAGCTAGCTCTGGCTTTGGTCTTCCTCCGGGTCCTCTCCTGCTGGTTCTTTGGTTCTCTGGTCTCACTCCTCTCTCCCCTGCTTCTAGAGATAGTCCACTGCGTTAGTGACAAGTCGTTCTTGTCTGTCTCTCCCCCTCTCCTGTCCCTGCGCGCCTTCCGCTCTGCCTCCTCCCCCTGTTGCTCGGAACCCCCTCCGCCGGGTAGGAGAGCGCTGCTCTGGCTGATAGGTTAATCCAGGTACTGTAGCTTTTCGTCTCCCTCTCCCGTTTCCTTCCCCGTCCCTGCACACCACAGCCAGGGACGGCCTCTTCCTCGGCCACTGCCATGGGGGGGGGGGGGGGCCGGCCCGCCCCCGTGCAGGGGGGGGGCTGGGGCCCGCTCCTCCGGGGAAACAAAGGTTTCTCTAGGGGGGGAAGGGGGGTGTGCGCGTGACAGCACGGTGTGTGTGGGTGCGTGTGAGCGTGTCTGAGTGTAAGCCCATGCACGTGTGCAGAAAGCCTCCGCCCTCCAGGGGACACAGGTGGGGCCCTGAGGCTATATCAGCAACAGGCCCTGGTGTGTGCACTGCACTGAGCCTCTCTACCACACACACACACACACACACACACCACCACCACCACCACCCCGCCTCTGACCCCTCACGCTCCTCTCCGCTCCTACCTGCAAGGCCTACCATCTCTCACCTGCTTCTGCTGCTGCCTCACCTTGAATGGCTTTATCTGGAAGCTTCTGCCCACCACCTGGTGGCTCCGAGCCTGGAATGGGGGGCAGCCCGAATTGGTTGGGGTGGGGGGATCAGGCTGGGGGGGGGTTCTTTGCCCTGGGTAGATGGGGGCCCCAGATGCCAGGACCGGAGAGTTGTAGAAGAGCTACGTCCCACCTCCCAGCCCTGCCCTGAGGGGCTGTCCCTCAGGGGCCCTGGGGCCCAGACTCTGCTGTGCCATCGGCCTAAGTAAGGATCCTTTCTCCCCACCTGGGGCAGGGGCCGAGAGCCAGGAGCTGGCAGGGGAAGGAGCTGCCATTTGGGCTTTCTTCATTTAGGCACCACAAAGCCTGGGCCCCGGGGTGGCTCTCCCCCTCCAGGCTCCTCCCTGGGCCCCTCCGCACGTGCCCAGGCCCGGCGGGGCTCCCCATCCCAGGCTCTGAGTGCGGGAGACCTCGTCCCCTTCCTTCCCTCTCTGGGCCGCCCCCTGAGGTGGGCCCGAGGGGGGGCCATATGTGAGTGGAGGGCCACAGCATCCGGTCCTCGCTGTGCTCAGGGCCAGGTGACGCGGGCGCAGGAGGCCGAGGAGAACTACGTCATCAAGCGGGAGCTGGCAGTGGTGCGGCAGCAGTGTAGCTCAGCGGCCGAGGACCTACAGAAGGCGCGGAGCACCATCCGGCAGCTTCAGGAGCAGCAGGTACCCGGCCGGGTGGGGCCCCGCACCACAGCCGCCCGGCCTTCCGGACCCGCCCGGTTACTTCCTAGCAGGCAGGGTAGGGGGGAGGGAGAAAGCCGGAGGGGACGCGGCTCCCCCCACGGCCCCACACCCACGTCCCACCCGCCGGTGAGGCGTCTGGCCTGCCACACTGAGAACGAGGCGGCCTCGGCGCAAGGGCCCCTGGGAACCAGGCTGCACCTGCAGTGCCCCCTCCCTCAGCTGACGTGGCTGTGATTCCCTAGGGGAATGTCCAGCATGTCCCTGAGGTCTGAAGGGCTGTGGGCTTCCCCGGGGGCCAGCCATGCGGGATGGGAGCTAGAACAAGAGACAGAGAGGGTTCCCCGCTCCAATGCCCAGCACTTTGCCCTCAGAAGAGGGTCCGGTCTGTGCTCACCGCTCAGAGCTGGCGGAGTCGGGGTGAGGGGGCAGCCCAACTCTGTTGTGGGTCATGAACTCTGGGTCAGTGGCGGGGGCGGGGGCTGCTCAAGCGAGAGCACCGTGAAGAGTCCACTTCTCCAGGAGGTGGCTTTTCGGGTTTTCCTTTGGCTCTGCCCAGGCCACCTTCCTTTTGCCATGACCTGCCAGCGGCACCGTAGCCCTGGCGGCAGCAAGGCCGATGGGGAAACAAAGCTGGGCTCATCCCGGCCTGGGCACGATGACCCCTTTCAGGCCAGAGAGACCGCCACCTGCCACCCCTGAGCTGCAGAGGCGGGTGAGGCAGGGAGATAGCTGCTGGGCCTGGGGCTGGGGCTCAGCGTGGGGCCCGGGGCCCACGCGAGCCAAGGGAGGGCCCCTCGAACCCGTGGATCTCGGAGACCTGCGGTAGCCAAGGGCGGCGAGCAGGCCCTCCCCTGGGAAGGGGCCAGCAGCCAGGAGAGGCTGGGACCACCTCCTGGAGAACCACCCTCCCGGGCCTCCAGGCATCGAGATGGGGCCATGGCTCCAACCCCACGGCTTGCTTCCCTCACCCACCAGGCGGGTATCCACTCCCCTGGGGCTCACCCTGGGGTACGTGCGTTGAGAAGCCTTCTGGGCCCTGAGCAAGAGCCTGATCCCAGCAGACTCCCCGCCCCTTTCTGTTTTGAAATGAGGGTGCGGCGAGAGGAGGGAGGTGGAGGAGGGGCAAGAATGCCCCAGCCCCATGCTGCTCCCACCCCCACTTTGTGCTTAGGCGCCGACTTCACCTTGGGGAACATGCCTGGGAGAACCCGTCCTCCGCCCCAACCCCAGCAAGCCTGGGAGCCAGCCTGAGGCCCTGGAAAGAGCCCTGCAGAAGGTCCCCACTTTGTGGCTTTCCCAGCAAAGAGGCTAAGCCAGGCGGGCTCCATCCCTAGGCACCGAGCATCAGAAGCCCCATGATGGGGTTCAGCTCCCTCCCCACGGGGGCAGAAGGCACAGGGAAGGGGATCCAGGGCTTCTCACCACCGCAGTCGCGGGCCCCCTCTGCCAGCCCAGGGGCTCTGAGAAGGGGGGTGCAGAGCCCAGGCCTGCGGCCAGCTGGCAGGAAGGCTACTGACCCCCAGCTGCAGCCCTCTGCCTGCCCCCAGGACAACCCGCGCCTCACCGAGGACTTTGTGGCCCACCTGGAGACTGAGCTGGAGCAGTCACGGCTGCGGGAGACAGAGACGCTGGGGGCCCTGCGGGAGATGCAGGACAAGGTTCTGGACATGGAGAAGGTGCGACTGGGCCGGCAAGTGGGCAGGTGTTGGGGAGACCGTGGAGGAGGGGAGGTGGAGGGACCAGATGTGCTTCTGGAGGTGCATGAGCAGGCCCTAGTTGAGAAGGGGTGACCAGACAGACCCAGTGGGGCGTGTCAAGCCCCCCTGCCCTGGATATCTACACACACACACACACACACACACACATCCAGGGCACACACAAAGCAGCGTGACTCCTCAAGGGACAGCAGTGTGGTGGCTTTCAAGGGCTTCCTGGATAGCCAGTCCCACCTGCCTGTGTCTCCACAAGCCCTGGGGTCCAGGATGGAGGTGGGAAGGAAGGCCAGGGCCCCTGGGGGTTGCTCTCCCCCTCCCCACCTCCATACAGAGACCTCCATACAGAGTAACACCTGTTACTCTGAAGGGCGCCCCAGACCTCCTGGGCCCTCCTCGACTGCTGTCACCCTGACTCCATGTTGACTCAACTCCCACAAAGCCCTGGGAGAGAGGTGCCCCAGCCAGCAGGGGGCAGCAGAACGCACTCACACCAGGCAGAAGCCACGCCCCACCTCCCTCAAGCCTGCACTATTTGGGGTGCCCTCCCAAGTGGGGTGTCTCCACCCCCCCATGGGCCTCTCAGGCTCCACCAGCTGGCCCCGAACAGGGCTTCCCTCCCACCTCCCTCCACATCAGAGGGAAATGTGCACACCAGGAGACCCTGCCACCCTCCCCCCAGCTCCCAGACTCAAACTGGGAGCGGTGAGGACCTCTAGCAGCAAGCTGGATTTTGACCCAAGGGACTGGAGCCCTTGGAACCGCCAGGCCTAGGCCTAGGCCTAGACTGTCCCTCGGCCTGTTCCAAGGAAAGGGGCTGCCTGTCCTGGTCTGGGGGAGAGAGGAACAGGGACAGGGAGCTGTGACCCACAGCCTTCTCGGCTGTTGCTGGGGCAGGTTCCAGGTCTGACCATGGGCCCCAGGGGGTGATCTCGGGTTCCCACGTGGCGGGGCACCCGCCCTATCCCATCCTACCTGGTGTTATTAGCGGTAACATTTATGGAAGACCCACGCGTTAGGGGGCCACCCTGAGACAGTCCAGTGAGAGCGGGTGCCGTTCCGCCGGCAGGATTTCTGCGGATCTAGGCCCGGGGCCACGTGGGGTCGGGTCTGCTCCCCAGGGGCCTGGGCCGCCTTCCCAGTGTATATCCCGGGGTCTGGGGGCGAACCCCTCCTCGCCGGGGTGCCCGGGGTGGAGCTCAGAAGACCGCGAGGGAGGGGTGTTGGTCCCGCAGGCAGGGCCGCCCGACGCGCGGCTTCCCCCGCCCAGGGCGCTGACCACCTC